ACACATACACCCGTATCTCAAACACATACACACATACATGCATATACATACACACCCCAATTACTATAGACAGTATACACATATCTCTATCTACATATACGTACACATACACTATATTGCCAAAAGTATTTGCTCACCCATCCAAATTATTGGAATCAGGTGTTCCAATCACTTCCATGGCCACAGGTGTATAAATTCAAGCACCTAGGCATGCAGACTGTTTTTACAAACATTTGTGAAAGAATGGGTCGCTCTCAGGAGCTCAGTGAATTCCAGCGTGGAACTGTGATAGGATGCCACCTGTGCAACAAATCCAGTCGTGAAATTTCCTCGCTCCTAAATATTCCACAGTCAACTGTCAGCTGTATTATAAGAAAATGGAAGTGTTTGGGAACGACAGCAACTCAGCCACGAAGAGGTAGGCCACGTAAACTGACGGAGCGGGGTCAGCGGATGCTGACGCGCATAGTGCGAAGAGGTCGCCAACTTTCTGCAGAGTCAATCACTACAGACCTCCAAACTTCATGTGGCCTTCAGATTAGCTCAAGAACAGTGCGCAGAGAGCTTCATGGAATGGGTTTCCATGGTCGAGCAGCTGCATCCAAGCCATACATCACCAAGTGCAATGCAAAGCGTCGGATGCGGTGGTGTAAAGCACGCCGCCACTGGACTCTAGAGCAGTGGAGACGCGTTCTCTGGAGTGACGAATCGCGCTTCTCCATCTGGCAATCTGATGGACGGGTCTGGGTTTGGCGGTTGCCAGGAGAACGGTACTTGTCTGACTGCATTGTGCCAAGTGTAAAGTTTGGTGGAGGGGGGATTATGGTGTGGGGTTGTTTTTCAGGAGCTGGGCTTGGCCCCTTAGTTCCAGTGAAAGGAACTCTGAATGCTTCAGCATACCAAGACATTTTGGACAATTCCATGCTCCCAACTTTGTGGGAACAGTTTGGAGCTGGCCCCTTCCTCTTCCAACATGACTGTGCACCAGTGCACAAAGCAAGGTCCATAAAGACATGGATGACAGAGTCTGGTGTGGATGAACTTGACTGGCCTGCACAGAGTCCTGACCTCAACCCGATAGAACACCTTTGGGATGAATTAGAGCGGAGACTGAGAGCCAGGCCTTCTCGTCCAACATCAGTGTGCGACCTCACAAATGCGCTTCTGGAAGAATGGTCAAAAATTCCCATAAACACACTCCTAAACCTTGTGGACAGCCTTCCCAGAAGAGTTGAAGCTGTTCTAGCTGCAAAGGGTGGACCGACGTCATATTGAACCCTATGGATTAGGAACGGGATGTCACTTAAGCTCATATGTGAGTCAAGGCAGGTGAGCAAATACTTTTGGCAATATAGTGTATATCCATACATATCCATAAACCAAAAACCCTTTTCTCTCACACTTTTTTTTTATTTTTTATTATTTCATCTCTCTTGACTTCTTAGATATAGATATATAGATATATAGATATATCTATATATATCTATATATATAGATATATCTATATATATAGATATATATAGATATATCTAGATATATATAGATATATCTAGATATATATAGATATATCTATATATATAGATATATCTATATATATAGATATATATAGATATATCTAGATATATATAGATATATCTATATATATAGATATATCTATATATATAGATATATATAGATATATATATATATATAGAGAGAGAGAGAGAGATATAGATATAGATAGAATATTTGAAGAGCCAACTTGTAAACTATGCAGGATCCAGAAACAATCCTTGAGGTTCTCCATTGTAATTATTTGAAAGGCCTGAAGAGGATCAGATGGCAACACCCTTAGATTTGTCATGACTATTTTTTATCCCACTTTAAGATATCAAAGTTTTTTTTTGTTCTGATTGGCTCAGAATTAATCCTCCTAAACTCTCTCCAAGCTGATGTTTAAGATCTAAGCATTAAAGGTTGTAGAACTACTTCCTTAACCTCCAGAGATACCAGTAAACCTTTTAATAGGGCTAAAAGTTTTATCTGCTTAAATCCTACTTTGTATATTTAATATTATACACATAATCTAGAGTAGAATTGGATGCTATTTGTTTTTATCAAGAGTTACTGGGATATTTTCACCGCTCAGTTGTTGTTTTAATTACCGTTAGTGAATCCAAATAAACCTGTGTCTGTAAAATATGCAGAATATCCCTGGCTGTTTTGATTTGTCACAATATTCATTCAGCGAGAGATAAAAATATTCTTCTTTATGAAACTGATCTTTAGCATACAACAATACAGTTTAAAATACCTAATCAGCCACTACATTAGTATTATCTCTTCCATAAACAAACATTATAAGGGTCAGAAGATGATTAGAAAGATCAGAATAAATCCTCTGTTGTGATTTCATTATATACTCTGGAAAAAATCTAAATCTAGATCAGTCATTTTTCCTTAAAATAAGTGAATTTCTTCTTTTATTGAAGAGGTAAAACAGTCATTTTGCCAATGGAAGAAGACAGTTTACATTTAATATAAAAATAACACAATTGCATTGTCTTATTTCAAAGTGCATTTTATATGATTATCTTATTTTAAGAGTAAAAATACTAATTCTTTTGGTAAATTATCTCATTTACCTATTCAAATTAAGGGTAAATACAAACAATTGTTACATATGTTTAGATAATTTTTCCAGAGTAAATAGATTAAACTTGTACCTGATCTATTTTTTATGAGCAAAAAAAAAGCACATTTCAACAGGCTTGTAAACCTCGCACTAAATCTAGGCTCCGTTTTTTTTTTTCCCCATCACAAACCACACCTTAGTGTCCACATAGCTCCAGCTACATCTCAGCCCTTCCTGCAGGACTAAACCTTTCATCGGGTTGCCTTTTCTAAGCAAACCTACAAGCTCCTTCCCCTCCTCGATGCTCCAGCTCTGACACATGCCTTCAGTTTAACCCGGCCTGGTGCTGAGCACTGGGAGTGTGCTGCTTGGTTTTACTCTGTTTGCTTTAGAGATTAAGGAATTGAACCCCTGGACTTCATAACACCAGAGCATCTGCAGCTTTCAGGTTTAAACCTACAAACCCAGAGAGAGGATAAAATAATTCCTAACTTTAACGTTTAAATGCAATAAAAAGAAAAAAAAAATATGAACTTGATCGACTCCACAGCGTGATTTGTATGCAAAGTCTTGGTTTTTTTTCCTTCTTTCAGGCTACGTCAAAGCTTTATGATGATGGTCTATATTTTGCATGCTCAAATCACTGAAGGGCCTTTGTCTGCAGCACATTTACATCTCTTAACACAGCTGGCTGGTCCAACCACTGGCACAAAACAAACAAGGAAGCCTGATAGAAAAACAACTCATAGGTAAAGTTACCACTAAAGAGGTCTTTTAGAGTTAAACGTCCAAACAACGTGGACTATTTTAGACATTTCTAAATAAACTGAGGTTGGCTTTGAAAACATAATTTGAATATAAAGAGGAAACAATATTTGCTTTAGACAGTTTGGGGTAATTTAACTTAAAAACTGACAGAATAACTGGTGATTTGCAGTTATACTTATATAAAAAGGGCATTAAAAGCTAAAACAAATCGTTAATTTATAAAGTTTTTTGAATCACGTAAAGCAGAGGAGGAGTAGGATGAGATTTTACTCAAAGAAGAGTCGTGGTAGTTTGATAAAGTTTTAGTAAAGTCAAATTTTAAAAAGTAGTAAAAATAGCATAATTACTTAAGATATTTAGTTATGATCATTTTTATAAAATATTGTAAAAAATTAAAATGATTAATGATAATTACAAAATAGCAAGCTTCGAATTCTTTACAGCTTAGAATTTCATAGTTGCAATCATTTATTTGTTTTAGTCTAAGGCTAACATTTACAGCACTTTAAATACTGTATTTGTAATTTTAGTGTAATACAAAATACTTCTTTATATAAGTATATTTTACCTCTAAGTGTTAGAGCAGGCTTAGCAAATAGAAATGTAAATTAAAGCGAAGACGCTTTGGATCAAAAACAGGATCTGACTATAAGTTTTCTTGGTTTTGCAAAGTAACTAAAGTGGATAGATGCTGTTATTTTAATTCACATACAAGTATAAATACAGAGATTTTAAAATAGTCTTAAAAACATATGTTTAATGCAACATTACTCAGGTAAACTAGTTATTACTACAAACCCTGTTTAAGGTTACAGTGTCTTGCCTTTATACTGCACACATAATCCCAGAGAGTCACTTTTTTTTAAACTTTTTAATGCAAAAAGAAAAAAATCTGAATATATCTTTATTTAAAAAAAAAATTTATATATCTTTATCCCTCAGATGGGGCCAGGTTGAGCCATACGACTTACATGCAAAACACCAGCAAGACGGAAAACACACCATGCCCACATAGGGGAGGCAGCGTCATGCTACGGGGATTCTCTCGCTCTGCAGGCACAGGAAAGTCTTCGAAGACGCTTTAGAGGTTCCGGCTTCCAGCAGAACAACGACCGAGCATACAGAGAAAGGCACAGTTGAAAGATTTTTCATAAAAGCGAATTCATGTCTTAAAGCGACCCAGATAAAATCCTGACCTAAACCTGAATGAGAATTCATCTCAAAGCTTTTAAATTAGAAGATTATCTCCATCTGATTTTATTGAGCTTAAGCTATTTTTTTTTTTTCACAAAGAGCAAAGAAAATCTTCTGTCTCCATTGATGTGGAGAGCTGGCAGAGACATGCATCAAAAGACTCAACTTTTATCTTAATAAGACAAGATGGTAGGAAGTTTTCACCTGGGTGGTTAAATACAAATGCACAGCATGCTACTGAGACAGAGGCATAAGACACTGTAAAACACGTTTTTTTTTTTTGGGGTTTGTTCTTTTTAAATTGTCAAAAGCGAGCAGACCTTTGACAAACGTGAACAATAGACCCTCATAAAACCTAAAGCTGAGGTATGCTGAGAGCATGTGCTGCTCTGGGGGTGTGGCCCTTCATATTTACTTCAGGTAAAACTAAGTGACTCATTCTGTCTCACACCTTGAACACAGTAAAGCTTACAGCTCACTAACTGCAGCGGACAGCGAAGTGGGACAAATAAAGAGACCAACTGATCCTTAACTAAAGGAATTTTCTACAAAGGGAAAATTTATTCTTCCAGGAGAAGAACTGCTGGACTTGGACTCAAAGACAGAAGTTTTTTTTTTTCATTTATTTATTTTTAATTTTTATTTTACATATGTGTAGTTTTGACCTACTTAGTCCCAGATCTAGTTTGGTTCCTTGTTCTTGAGGAAATAACCCAAACACTTTGGAGAGCGTCTCAGGCTTCACTTGATCATTTGTTGTGAGGATTTTGCCAATGACAATGCCGGTGGTCAAAGTGGAGAAAGAGTCTCCAGCAGACACCACGTTGCTTTCCTCCAACCCTTCGCCAAACACAGAGGAGCAGCAGCCCCGGGGCAGGAGGAGAAAGAGACCTCTTCAGAGGGGGAAACCGCCGTACAGCTACATCGCACTCATCTCCATGGCAATCGCCAACTCCCCTGACCGCAAGCTGACGCTTGGCGGGATCTACAGATTTATCACAGAGCGGTTCCCCTTCTATCGAGACAACTCAAAGAAGTGGCAGAACTCCATCCGCCACAACCTGACATTAAACGATTGCTTCATCAAGATCCCTCGAGAGCCCGGCCGACCCGGAAAGGGCAACTACTGGGCGCTGGACCCCAACGCGGAGGATATGTTTGAGAGCGGCAGCTTTCTGAGGCGCAGGAAGAGGTTCAAACGCTGTGACCTCAGCACCTATGCTTCGTATGTCCACGACACACCAGTTTTCTCTCCTGTCCAGATCGCCAGATCCACTGGATACACCAGTTCAGTCTACCCCAACATGACCGTCAGCCCTGCGTACGGCCAGCAGCTGCCCTCTGCCTACTACCCCTCCTCATCACCTCCAGGGTTTGCCCACGGTCAGACCCGCATGTTCAGCATCAATAACATCATTGGACACCCAACCTCACCCAGCATGCTGGCGGGTCAAGGCCCAGAGATGATGCAGCAGCCCAGCAGGAGCTTCAGTCCAGAGGGTCTGCCTAACGGGTCGTCTCCCTGCAGCCTGGGAACCCCAGGTTTCCAGAGTCAGCCCTGTGGGGGTGCAGTGCCGCCCCGCTCCTCTGCACACCCAGGGTTCACCTACTCTGGGCCAAACAGCCACGCACACCATCACGCCCATCAGGGCTCCTACGGACAGGCCCACAGCCAGGGGTACGTAGCAACAGGCCGGATCCACTCCACAGCTCACGGCTCTGCAGACACAGTAGACCATTACGGCAGAGTTTCCCCAGTACAGCTCGGCTCTTTCTCCCAGTACAACAGTACGGCGGGTGGTGTCACCAACACTGGGGGATACCTGAGACACCCATCGTACCACGGCAACATGGACCGGTTTGTTTCTGCAATCTGAGCTGCTGGAAACGTCCCAGTCCAAGCTCGGGCTCATGGTGTAAAGATCATAACTTTAAAAGTGAAATTTGAGCGCACAAACAGGACAGCACCGAACAGACTGCAATGATAAATGTGATTTTTTTTTTCTGCTATTATTTTAGACCGTGCTTCCAAACTGATGGGAAGTTCATCTTTAAGACATTCTGTACAGGTTTGCTCAAATGTACCTTTTTTTCCCTTCTTTTCTTGGTCACAATGTGAATGGATAAGTTACAAGCCTAACCTACATTTTTTTTTTTTTTCATATAAATTATTGTACTTCATGGCTACTGGCTTCACACTAATAAGCTTGTTTGCAGAGGATTAATTAGAAAGTTTGCATGTTCTTTTTTTAAAGAAAAAAAATTTTTGTTTGCTTTTTGTAAATAAACGGATAGAGCACTTTTTCTTCATGGAAAAAAAACTAATGGTGAATATTGGAAATAAATTGTTTTAATGAAATCATGAATCCATCATTTATTTTCTTATTATTGCCAAGTGTGTGGATTTTGTCCCACAGCCAGTTAGGAAGTTGTTAACTCATGGCAGGTATTTATATTTGAAGTAAATTGAAGTAATTAGTTGTGGTATTAACAACCAAAACACAGAAAGATAAACATTGTGTTCCTCCAGTGTTTGAGTTGCTTACCTCAGCGTTTCGGCTCAGCTGGATTTGAAGTGTCGTCTGGAGCCGCAGCATTAGCACTCACTGTGACCGCACTTCAGTTTATCATGTCCAGACATCAGCTCACCACTGGAATCTACTAATCAGGAAAATGAATTACCTTAGTAACCTGAACTCACACAAAACCAACAGGAAGCTCAGAAAACTCTGAGGATCTGGCATGATGAGACTCGCAGGGAAACGCTTCATTATATGCTTTATTTTTACCTCTACTTTTAGATTTTTTTTTCCTTTTCCTTTTTTGTGAAATGTACCTTTAAAATAGATGCATTTTTATTTTGAGTTTAATGTTCCCCCTTACAACTCCCAGATAGAAAGGAGGGAAACACTACAAACTATTATAGTTTCATTCAATTTCATGAATGACCTGCAATTAATAATTAATAGTGGCGCTTTAAGACCAAATTTATTAGGATGAGGCAAGTCTTTTTTCATGGGGGGGCGCCAGAATAAATAAAAAAAATGGAGAAAGTGAGCCAAAGAGCCTTTGGCAGCTCTAGAAACCTCACGCACTTATAAGTTGTGCTTTCTGTTCCAGTGCATATCATAATTGACTTATCATACATTTATTTTGTATTATTTCTTTGGTACAGTGGAACTAAAGGGGCCAGGACCCGTTTTACAGGGGCACTGACCTCCGTTGACCCTTGTCTATCCCCGCCCACGATCATAAATTCACTGGATCGTCTAACCTTTCGAAAGACAGCTTGATACAAATCATATAAAAGGGTGAAAGCGATCCAGCTTGAGCAAATATTTACCTTCTCAACTTCACCTTCCCAAACTTCCACAGAAATGCAGAGGGAGGAAATAAAAACCTGAAGGCGGATTGGGCTGAACATCGGCACACTTCAACCATCTCATTTCTGTGACATGCAGCCTTTCCTAGCTTACTTTATGCGTGGTACTTTGGTAAGGTATTCATGTCCTCTTAAACTCCATCTTCTGTTGCATTACAGTTTTTTAATAGGATTTTATGACATTTATACCAATTATATAAAGTATAAAAAAATGTAATAAAAAAAAAACTGCAACATAAAAACTGAAAATGGTGAAATAACTTTGAATTGAATGTGAAAGGTGGCAACACTTGAAAACAGACATTTCTCTTCCTAATCTGACCTAGTTCAAATTTTATTTTTATTTTTTTTTGCAAAGGAAAAAAAATTGCAGAAAGATGTCCAAAGATGAAAGAAAGCTGAGAAAATGTGCAAATCCACATTTTTCAGATTCTGATTAGACCATTGAATTGCATGTATTATTTTGCTTTCAATCATAATTTCGCAGCAACCTTTGTGCAAAATTGTCAAATAAAACATGGAGGCGTCATACAATTGAACTAGAGGTTCAACCTGCCCAGCCACTGAACCAGGTGAGTCCAACCTGCACAATTTAATTCACTGTGCAGATTGGACCTACCTGGTTCAGTAGCGGGCAGAATGGAGAAGGCTTGCTGACTCCACATTTTCCACCTCTGCTAATCACTGGTCTAAGGTGGTGAAATTTGATATGAGCTGTGTGACTCTCTGCCCAGGGCGGCACATAGTAAGAGAAAAGGGACAGTCAGTTTGGCCCAAATATGCTGTCCTTTGCCTGTTTGAATATTAAAAAGTTGAAAGGTGAAAAACTATGTCATGCACAAAATATAAAAACCTCAAAAATTACACTGCACAAAAAATAAAGGGAACACTAAAACAACATAATATAAATGACAATGTCAAATGCTGTTGTACAAATGGAATAGAGGACAGGTGAAAAGTAGTGATGCTAGGCTCGAGTCAGTATGCGTGACACAGCTTCAACCTTTTTTTAAGCAGAAGTGTCACTAAGGAATGTTTAGTGAGAGCGAGGCCTCATTACGTCACATTTCATATCGAGCTTTACATTAAATTTGAATCATCTGGGCGTTTCAATAGTACTGAACCATGGGTTTTTCCCCATTTCAGTATTATTTAAAGACAGGGAAAGAAATCTATATAATAGTTTAGAATTGATTCAGAATCTGTTGCTTCATGCAGTTAGACCTAAAATAGATATAGGCACACACACATCTCTACCCACAGCAGTCATACAGATATTTATTCATACAGCAAATCTAAACAGTTATTTATGTTTCTCCTTTAATGCAATCATCTTCATTGCTCAGAACCACAGCAGGAATGTTGAGAACTTTTGAGAACTACTGGGCAGCAGAGTTGGTTCCAATCATCAAAAGTATTTGTACAACTTAAGGGATGATTTATTGATGTATTTATATCATAAACTATATAACTATATACACACACACATACACATATATACATACATACATACACACACACACACACGTATATACATACATATAAATACACATACATACACACACACATATATATATATATATATACACACACACATGTACATATACACACACATATATATATATATATATCTATATTGTTTGCTATTGTTTTTTCAATCACTGTACCATAAAATAAGTAGATGTAACATTTAATTATTAATCTAAAGCATTTTTTAAATACGAAAATAAAAAAATTTAATCAAAATGCATCATTATTTTAATAAACATCATTTGAAAAAAATACATTTATTTAAAGAAAAATATTACTTCACTTTATATGATTAATCAGAGCAAACTAACTTCATGTCTTTTTAGGTTCCCCAGTCTGCTGCTGTTATTTTTGGGGTCACAGGCTGAGAAGTTTGGGAATCCCTGTTCTGGAGAATTGGCATCCCCTTCAATATTAGATCTTATTAAAGAAGAGACGCAAAAACTTGAAGATTGAATGAAGGCGGTTAAACGGCTCAGTCTTAAGATTTATCTGGAAATAAACGATAGCCGAGGAAAACTCACAGTACATGTTAAAAGGTTCCTTCTTTTATTAGGATAATAAACAAGTAAAAAACACCAAACAAACATAAATATTTCAAACGGACCGGCGATCAGACTAGAGTCAGCCGATGTATTCCACCAGCTGCTGCAGATGCTCGCAATGCTTCACCACTTCTGGCAGCGAGAGAAGAGTCTGCAGGAGGAAATAAAAACAATTCCATCAAAATCTGCTTTCCAAACACCGTCAACAAACGACACATCAGAACAAGTCTCACCTCTCTGACTTTATTGAGCATGCTGTTCAACATCTGGAGCTCGTCGTCCATTTTCTGCTGGTTGGTCAGATGGATGATTTGCTAAGAGAGAGGATACGATGGCTGTCTAAATATTTTTCCAGATTTTACAGGAAGGTGCAGGTATGTGGGCAGATATCGTGGTGAGCCGACAGATAGGATCAGGACTCACGTGTCTCTTTGCTCTCTCCAGGATTTTAACTTTGGCCTGCTCTGCTTCCTGGAGACTTGCCTTCAGCCTCTCCACCTGGTGGCCACAAACCCGTCAGTCACAAACCAACAGATAATAAAACTCCTGATCCAGCAGGGTTACAGACCTTCTTCAGCAGCTCGATCTTCTCCTCCATGTGATTGACCGGGTGCGCCGATGCTACGCCTGCTTTCCCCAGTTCCTCCCACAGGACCTGGGATTCAACGCGGGACTCCTTCAGAGCACGACGCAGCTCCGTCACGTCCTTTCGCAAGTCCTGAGAGGCAATTTAAGAAAAGTTAAAGAAAACGGCAACATTTCCTCTTAGATCTGATGTGTGTAGTTAATGTTGTACATTGTTGTCACTCTTGTGTTTGCTTAGGATGTCCTGTGCCTCTTGGACGTCTGCCATCAGCTTTGTTAGTGTTTTCTCATCCTTCAGGGGAAAAAAAATACATATATACCAAATCGTTTAAAGATCTTTTCAGTCCAAAAGCGTCAGCCTCTAACATAACAGCAGTTCCAACCTGCGCTTTCTGCTCCAGGGCCTGTTTTCCTCTCTCTGCCAGGCTACTCAAATGCTGCAGCTCCTGTTTCAGCTCCAGCACCTCTGCTTGATGTCTGCTGGTCAAGGTCTGCTGCTCCACCTGCAGGCCACAGCTTGAACAACAGGAGAACATTGTAAGAGGGAAGAAGTGAATGCATGCGATCAAAGAAATAAGAAAACCACTACTTATCAAGTGTCAGGGTCTTTGGATCATTTATGCTTTTATTTTTGCTGAAAAAGTTTAGTAAAGAAAAGTATACCACAGCTTTTTGGGGCATTAGGACCAAACAAGATGAGCTGTGGAACAGATTTATTAACTCTGGACGAGTGCTCAGATTATTAATGATTCTTGAAGCAGAGTTTTGGGAATCGAGTTTGCTTTAAGAAAATTAAATCAAACATGTATGGATAGGAGACCAGAGCTTTGCTTTATTCTAAGCCAGTTAATAATAATTTAAAGGATAAAAAAGCCTAAAAAACCTCACATTTAAAATGTCCTTATACATCTGTAAGTAATCATCTCCACTGTTTTTTTTTATAAAACATAATAATAAATAACGTCTGGAAACAAACCTTTGTTATGACAGATTTTTAACTAAGTGTAATTTAACCTTTTAATTAACATCCTAATAGTGACAATATCAATTTAACTCATTCATCCATATTGGATGTCAAGCATGTTGGTTTTTTGTTAAAATCATGTTTAGGATCATACGTTAAAATATCAGGTAGAAATATTTTCATTAAAAAAACAAACAAAAAAATAAATTAAAAAAATGTCCTCTGAACTGACGCAAAAGAGCAGGAAGGTTCTGGAAGATGTCAGGCCAGCATTTTAGAAACAGAACATTTGGAGTGGCTGTAGGTTAAATTAGGGCTGTAGAATTCATTATATTTGCAATTTAATGGGAGTTTTACGAAACATTTTTATTAATCACTGAGACCCTCATTTTTTGTTCATATCACAGGAGTAAGACACTGACTGTCTCACTCCAGCCCTTTAGGTGGCGGTAATAGGCTTAATGTGGGTTTATCAACACAGAAGGAAGGAAGCTTTCAAAGTCATGGAAACAATAAAACCCTTACTGAAACAATAAAACATGACTGTGGTAGATTTGGCTATGGTGAAGGAAAATCTTATTAACAAAATCGCAATATTGGTGAAAAAAACAGACAAATGTAATTTGATTTCATTGCCAATATAGTTCACCTCAAGATTTAATTTTACCTACTTTGGACAGTCATTGCCAAAACACTGATCCAATGCTTTAACAGGTGGCCTAGTTAAAGTCACAACTTAAACCCAAATTTATAATAATATGGTGACATAACACCATTCCCACATATGTAGAAAAAGAGGAAAAAAACTTAAACAATCTGACTTAATGTAGGATTTAAAGAGAAGAGAAATTATATCTTTACACAAGTTACATTTGTTCAGGTTGGTTTTGTTTTTTTAACCCTTGATGTCATTAACGACTGCTTTTATATTTGGTCAATTTTGATGTCGTTTTGATTAAATGTCTTTCATGAATTGAAACTTTTAAGTTCTGAAAGAAAAAAACGAAACACCCATTAAAATTTAAATATGTCAGGAAATGTCTTTGCAAATTTTGTGTCAAGGCTGTAAATGACTGCATTAGGGCAGGTATTTCCTTAAATTTGTTGGATCCCATCAGGTGCCAATCAGATCCCAAAAGGTGCCTTAGAAGATTCAAACCAGGTGAAAGTAAAAGTGGGCCTGTTTGATATCAATGTATAAAAAAGGTTTTTATCCAAAATGTTTTTTTTTTTCTAATTTCGGCACAAGTACTGGTCCGAGTAACCTTGTCTTTTCAGCTAATGTGACCCTGCCTGTATTAATCAATTCATTTTTTGACAAATATTACAATAATGGATTAATCAGGACTGTTTGGATAAATTGTTTTTGCCCTGTTCTGCATTAGAAACAACCCAAACATGATCATTACACCTTCCACCTACATGGTGTTGTTCAGCTCCTGCAGCTTCTCGTCTCTGCGCTGCTGCACCAGTTTCAGCGTGCTGATGAGCTCTGTGACGGCGCCGCTCAGCCCAGAGAGGAGCTCGGCCACAGAGCTCTCCACCTCCTCCTCTTCTTCTTCTTCATCCTGGACTGCATCAGAGTTCTTCTTCGGGGTCCCGATGCGGGTGAAGGCACTCGTCTCGCTGCAGAAAACTTCACTTTGTGGCTCTGGTGTATCTGAAGGGAGTTATTGAAACCGTCACAAATTAAGAACAAAACACTGGGATGGAGGAGAAATGGAACAAAGGATTTATTTCTAAAATCCTCTTAAACTTTAAATCATTTTGTAAAGTTTGTTTTTAAAGACTTCAGAAGAAGCTGCAATACCGGAAGGCGAGTCTGTTCTGACGTCTTCCTCCTTCTCGCCAGTTAAAGCCACCATGACGCTGTCCACCAGGGAGCAGGACGGATGCCTGCGCTCTGCATAGGGAAACGCAGTAGACTCTTCGTGCTTGTGTTGATTTTCTGTCTGAAAAGATGAAGATGACACAGAGGGGTCAGAACAGACTGTGTGAAAAGAAGCCGTCATGGCAGCAGCCTTCAAATGAAAACTATTTAAAACATCAACTAAAGTGATTCAGGCTTTCTGGGACTATTACAAAGAAACAGCAGACGATGGACATCAGGTCTTACTGTCAGACACTGTCTACTGTAGACTGTTTTTGTTCCTGATGCTTCAACCGCTCTGTTTTTCATATTTTGCAAAGCACACCATGTGGTCAAAACACGAACCAGAAACAAATCTTAACATACAGATGTATATACTCCGAAAGAACAATGAAAACTGTCTTTTCTTCTTCCAAGGTTGCAGGAACAAAGCTTGTTAAAGCTCATTTTGGTGTGTATACCATCACAGCGTCAGGGATCCATGAAGACTTTTTGGAGGTTCTGCAGTATTGTTTTAGGGAAGCACTAAATGTCATTTCCAACATCTCAAAAAAAAAAAAAATGAGTTATCTGCAGCTTTCAGAGACATACCTTTTTTAAAAAGCCAATATTTCAGTTAGGGTACCATTTTGATAGAAATATTCAATTTAGACAAAAAAACTGTTTGAATTGGTCGAAATGATGTTGAAAGCTTGAAAAGAAGCAAATATCAAGGATATACACATGTTTGCAAAAATACATGAAAACTATTCAACAACATACAGAAAGAAAGCAAGGGAAAAAGATGTAGAGTCTTTACTTTTTGAAGCTAAGTGGTTAATTATATTAAAAATTGTCATAACTACATTATCTAGTATTTGGGAGAGTTCACAGGGAGAAACATTGTACTTTATCCATAGGTTATAAGTAAATAATATTATAGAGATGAAGACAGTCAAGCAGGTCATTATGATGTGTTAGGGAACTGGGCGCCCCCTACTGGATAATGTAGGTAAAGGGTATTAGAAACGTATCCGGTCTGGACTTTCAATGCGATTTCACAACATTCCATTTAAGCAATTTACCCCAACTGGGGAAAAAAGAAATTCTATTTTGTTAATATAGTTGGCAGGGGCCAAAAAAAAAAAAAAAAAACTCATCACAGATGGTTAAGTGAAGAGATCCCCAACATTAAAGACTGGATACAATGAAAAGACTTACACTATATTGCCAAAAGTATTTGCTCACCTGCCTTGACTCACATATGAGCTTAAGTGACATCCCGTTCCTAATCCATAGGGTTCAATATGACGTCGGTCCACCCTTTGCAGCTAGAACAGCTTCAACTCTTCTGGGAAGGCTGTCCACAAGGTTTAGGAGTGTGTTTATGGGAATTTTTGACCATTCTTCCAGAAGCGCATTTGTGAGGTCGCACACTGATGTTGGACGAGAAGGCCTGGCTCTCAGTCTCCGCTCTAATTCATCCCAAAGGTGTTCTATCGGGTTGAGGTCAGGACTCTGTGCAGGCCAGTCAAGTTCATCCACACCAGACTCTGTCATCCATGTCTTTATGGACCTTGCTTTGTGCACTGGTGCACAGTCATGTTGGAAGAGGAAGGGGCCAGCTCCAAACTGTTCCCACAAAGTTGGGAGCATGGAATTGTCCAAAATGTCTTGGTATGCTGAAGCATTCAGAGTTCCTTTCCTTGGAACTAAGGGGCCAAGCCCAGCTCCTGAAAAACAACCCCACACCATAATCCCCCCTTCACCAAACTTTACACTTGGCACAATGCAGTCAGACAAGTACCGTTCTCCTGGCAACCGCCAAACCCAGACCCGTCCATCAGATTGCCAGATGGAGAAGCGCGATTCGTCACTCCAGAGAACGCGTCTCCACTGCTCTAGAGTCCAGTGGCGGCGTGCTTTACACCACCGCATCCGACGCTTTGCATTGCACTTGGTGATGTATGGCTTGGATGCAGCTGCTCGACCATGGAAACCCATTCCATGAAGCTCTCTGCGCACTGTTCTTGAGCTAATCTGAAGGCCACATGAAGTTTGGAGGTCTGTAGTGATTGACTCTGCAGAAAGTTGGCGACCTCTTCGCACTATGCGCTTCAGCATCCGCTGACCCCGCTCCGTCAGTTTACGTGGCCTACCACTTCGTGGCTGAGTTGCTGTCGTTCCCAAACACTTCCATTTTCTTATAATACAGCTGACAGTTGACTGTGGAATATTTAGGAGTGAGGAAATTTCACGACTGGATTTGTTGCACAGGTGGCATCCTATCACAGTTCCACGCTGGAATTCACTGAGCTCCTGAGAGCGACCCATTCTTTCACAAATGTTTGTAAAAACAGTCTGCATGCCTAGGTGCTTGAATTTATACACCTGTGTCCATGGAAGTGATTGGAACACCTGATTCCAATAATTTGGATGGGTGAGCAAATACTTTTGGCAATATAGTGTATGTTTACAATGAGGATGTAATTGAAAAAATGCAAACGTTATTGCAGAAATAGAAATCCATAATTAGGACTCTTATTTTTATAACTGTTTCTAAATAAAAGGAATGTGCTAATGAGCTGATGCAAAATGCTGCAGCCAGAGTTCTGATGAAAATTAAAAAGAGAGATCATGTCTCTCCTATTCTGGTTTCTCTTCATTGGCTTCCTCTTAAATTTTTTTTGATTTTGATTTTATTATTTTATTTTATATACTCTAATAATCCCAGAGGGAACTTACTTCTCTGCATTAACCCATCCCCTTGGGGAGCAGTGGGCTGCAATTGTGCGGCGCCTGGGGAGCAGTGTGGGGTTAAGGGTCTTTGCTCAGGGACCCAGAGTGACAGTCTGTGGGAGTGGAGGATCGAACTCACAACCTCAGGATTCAAGGCCCTATGCCCTAACCTATAGGCTGCCACTCCCCAATGTTATGTTCCTAACACAGCACTTCACTCTCAATCTGCAGGTTTATTAGTGGTTCCTAGAATTTCTAAAAAATAGAATGGGAGGCAGATCTTTTATTTATCAGGCTCCTCTCCTGTGGAACCAACTACCAGTTTTAGTCCGTGAGGGAGACACCCTGTCTACTTTTAAGGCTAGGCTTAAAACGTTCCTTTTTGATAAAGCTTATAGTAAGAGTGGCTCAGGTTATCCTGAGCTATCTCTATAGTTATGCTGCTATAGGCTTAGACTTCTGGAGGACATAGGAGGTTCTTCATTCTATCTATTCTCCCACACTGCGGAGTCTGTTAGTCCAACACCTTTGTACATAGATGTTGGAGATCGGCCTGTTTTTCTGTCTAGTCCTGGTTCTCTGACTGTGACTGGCTGGATGTGCTCTCTTCATCCTCTGACATGGGAGCTCGTCTGCCTGGCTGTGTGTTTCCTGGACGGGGCCGCCTTTTACAGTTGCTTTTTATATTTCTGCTTCTGTCTCTTTGAACCCCAGTCAGCCTCGGCAGATGGCCGCTCGCACTGAGCCTGGTTCTGCTGCAGGCTTCTTCCTGTTAAAAGGGAGTTTTCCCTCTCCATTGTCGCTACAAGCAATGAGTTGATGCAATTAACTGGTTTCCCTTAGATAGAAAACTTTAAATCAATCTGACTGGATGATCTGGATGACATGTGTTGTGAATTGGTGCTATACAAATAAACTGAATTGAAATTGCTACCTACTGTAGATGCTCTGTGTATTTTTTTCTATACAACTTGTGAAAAATATACCCCAGACTTCACCCCTTTATAGGATGAGAGAGAAGGTGAGGGTGATGGATCCTCCCTGCATTCATGCCACCACCACCACAACCAGCAAGCTTCCTAGCAGACATGACGTCGACTCTGTTGTGACTGCAAACCTTCTTTCTTTTTCTTTATTTTATTTTATTTATTCTTTTATTTTTGGCTGGTGATTAACAGCAGCCAGGTAATACTGCAATCAAAGACACATTTTCATGCAGGCCGGGCGCGGTGCAGTTAGGCTGTCGTTGGACATAAGTTCTGGACTCGTTATGATTACTCTATGTATATGCCCAAAAATTAAAACATACTTAGAATTTCATATGCCAGCGTTTTAGAACATTCTGGGACATCAGGCAAACGCTGGCTAAATCGGCTAAGGGTGACAGGACCCTGACATTAGTAAAAATCTCCTGATCAGATCAGAAGCCACTGGACTTTGGAGCTACAGTCTTTTGACCTACACTGCATTTTAGTTGTGCATTTCAGAAAAGTCTAAAGACAATTTATTTTTTTTGTTACCCTTTGCTTTTTATTATTAAAAGGCAAAAATAAAACTTTGATTTTAAAGCTTTTGCTTGCTACATGTTGAGTGCAAAGAACTTTGAGGTCCTAAAGCTAGAGGGTCAGACCTGTGTTCCTCACACAGCCTTTATAAGTTATATCTTTAATAATATAAAACTGTTAAATGTTACAGACAGAACTCTTTGTTTTACCTCAAGCTTTTGACTCCAGCCCTTTAATAACTTCAGACTAAAGAACAAAGGCAACTTCCAACAGCAAACGTAGGGCCTCATAATGCGCAGGGGTATTGCTAACTAAAGAATCCAATTCTTTAGACAAAGTTAAATGTTTGTTTTTATGACATGAGAACAGTCTAAAAAAGAACAAAACTTTCAGGAGGAGAATATCATTTTATGGAATTACAGAATGTCTACTTTCATGGGCTGTGAACTCCTTTAAACAGGTCCATGTTCTACCCTGGATCGTGGGTTTATATTATTTTTTAAATCAAACTAGAACATCAGCACAGAACAAATGAGTTAATGCTGTACAGCATTATATGAAGAATAACAAAAACAGGACTGCATATCAAAAATTTACCAATTTAAGATGTCTGTCAGAGTCTGTTTAAAGACTCAAAGGGGAAGCTATTGAAATAAATCTGTAAGAACCTACAAAAGAACTTATTCATTATAGAAAGCTAATTTTTCTGGAAAACCTAAATAACCTAAAGCTTAGATCTGCTTGTAGCCGATATACCTGGTTGCCTAGAGAAGCCTGCAGCTCCTTGGTCACTTCCCGCAGCGTGTGATGCAGCACTACTACTTCAGTGACCGCCTGCCCCATCTTCTCTTTGAGCTCCATGCAAGCGGCTCTGGCTGCAGATCTGGCGATTTCCAACTCTTCACACAGACTCTTGTTCTCAACCCTTCAAATGTGAACAGATCATTTTAGGCTGTTAGATCACATGGATAGGTTAATGAGACAGAATATCATTAAAAAAACGTAACAATCTTTGGTCAGTCATTTTAGAAAAAATGATACAGATTTATTAGACAGGGTGAATAGTTCAAGCCTTGTTTCTTAATATTAATAATTATGGCTCAAAAGGTAGTGGAACAAAATATTCTGTTAAGGGTGGAATCATATTTGTCCAGGCCTGTTATATGAGCTTATTTTTTCCAATCATTCAGTTGAAGCATGGTTGAAAAGCAATGTCTGACATTCCAGGACATTTCAGGGCACTTCATGTCTTCTTCCACTGATAAGCATTACAGAGAATCTGATTTCATTTTCCTAGAAGGAAAGGCAGCTAGTGATAAAAAAACAAAACAAACAACAACAAAAAAAAACTGACAATTGAAAGCAAATTGAGAGAGCGGCAAGCCACATATCAACCAATTCATAAAGATCAGAACCACAGGCTGATATGGAGGACCAGCTCTAAAATATTTTAAAAAAATACACAAATAAATAAATGCTCAATAAATAAGCATACAATTAATTGCCCCCAAAATAGAGTCCTGCAACGGGTCGGGTACCCACGGGTCCCCGACGGGTCACCCGCTAAAATGCTCTTTTGCGGGTGAAAAATACATAAATAAAAATAAACGGGTCGGGGTTCGGGCGGATATCTTTTTAGTGCGGGCGGGTAGTTGGTGATTTTTTTTTTTATGCGTGTGTGTTGTTATGGACATCAGAAATTGGGTTGGTAAAACTCGACCCGTGCAGGACTCTACCTGAAAATACAACAAATAATGTCGGTAGAAATTTTATTATACAGTGACATAAATGTACATATCTCTTCTAATTAGCTTCTATATTTATTCGATTTTGTAATAATTTATTGTCCGTTATAATCTTCAACTTCATTTATTAATAACTTTTTTTTTTTAAGTATTTATTTATGTGCATTTTATAATATTTTTGTCTGGTTTTATTCTTCCTCTGTATTTTTTTACCCTCTTTATTTCTTCAGTGCTATTTATTTCTGCCAGTTGTTTTTACATTTCTGTCTGCATTTCTGCCTCATTATGCAAATGAGGAGGGGCTGTGTCTTAGTGGGTCAACTTCTGCCCAATGGTTGCTTAGCATTTTACTGCATCGGTAGAATGTACATGAGGAGAGGAGACTCTGAAGTCGAGTCTGAAGTCACGTGCCGTTTCTCAATTCATAAGAACGTGAGTACTGTCTTGTGTCGTCGCCAAGTACGTTCTTGAGAAAAACACAGGAAGGTGTGGACTTGGGGAGAACAGGAAACTAACAAGAAACTACATACATTTATTTGTTTATTGTATTTCCAGGGGCAATTAACTGTATGCTTATTTATTTATTGAGGATTTATTTATTTCTGTATTTATTTTTAAATATGGTAGAGCTGATCCTCCACAGTCCGATCCCCTCCATGCCATCCTGCCCTGCTGCAGCAATTAAAGCAAAAAGAGCCCAGACCTAACATGGAGGGCAAGATATAAACATGCCTTCCAGACATTCATACTCATTTGAGCTAATGGTCAAATTCTTGAGCTCTACTTGATTATTACAGGTAGAAAAAGAAAAGGAAGCAATGTATCTGTGAGGACCAGTGAACCATCAACCTTCAGACTCTCTACCAGTTAGATGGTTAGAAGACGCTTACCGAAGTTTGGAGACTTCAGCTTTCAGGTCTTCACACTCAATGTTCCTTTCTCGGAGCCCCTGCAGCGTGTTCCTCAGCATCTTCTCACTCTCCACCACTTGCTCCCTCGCAAACTCGTTCTCATTCTGCAAAAACTGAAACACGCAAAGAAACACAAATAAACAGAGAAGTTCGCCCTGTAAAAATCTTATATCTGGTCAAATCCATACTTGATAACCCAGCGGCATTTCTTCCTTCACACCACAACGGTTTGTGGGAACTGGAGGCTAAACTTTTCTCAATGGAACATTTTTGGAGGAGTTTAGGGGGTATTTCATATTTCTGAAAGCAGCTTGTGCAGCCTTAGCTTAACAAGAGGTCAAATGAATAAGGGTCTGGACATCAGGAGAGGTGGCAGACCTATAAACATCATGTCTTTGAGAAGAAGAAGAGATTCAGAAAACTGGAACAGGAATGCGAGAGAAGCATCATCCTGCAACTGATCCGATCTATTCTAGGCTTTCTAGAAAACTAAACCGTTTTCTTTTATTGTAGTCTTTTTATTGTTAGCATCAGTTTTAGATTCAGCAAATATAAGACAACTATTTTTTTGGCAAGATGCTGGGAACCGGCGTGTATTACACAAAATGCAGTCATCTCAAAAGCTTATGTACATTTGATTTGTTGATGCAAAGAGCAAGAGTTTGACTGCTTGAAAAACATCCCCTCCTATTGGTTGATTTTATTCCTGCATGAATAAAGGAGCGGATGACTACAATCTAATTTAATCGAATGCTTCACTACATTCATTAACTAATTTTTAATAATCTCCTTATTCTTTATTACATGTTGTAAATGCTACGTTCAGACCGCACGCGCTAGAGGCAGCAGAAGCAGCTAGTTTACATGCAAAGTCAATGGTTGACGCGCATCAAGAAGCAGCAAAAGGTCCTGCAGCGCATCTGATTAGCCGAAGCAGCGCCTCACGAGCTTATGAGCATCTGACGGGCTGTAAAAGCAGCTGCTTGATGAGCCACATCAACCAATCAGAGAAACTGATCTGGGAGCTGGCAGGGAGACAAACACAGTGCTGCTGTTGCAGATCGCATCACTCCTCTGAAACTGTTTATTAACGCCCTAAATTAACTTAAAATGTTGAAAAAATATGTTTGATTTTATTATTCTGGAGCCTCCAGTTTGGATTACAAACACCAGCAGCCAAACTCCCCAAGAGTTTGCCGTTGAAGGGGATTTCCAGTGACAAAACTCCGCTGGTGTTCGGGGGTCTGAGCGGCACTGACAGCAAAATAATATTTGAAGGCAGGATCGTAATCTTGATGGACTGACCGCACAGATGAAGTCTTCAGGTGGACTTTCTCACTTTAGTACATATTAAAACTATGCTTTACCCACTTATAACAGCAAATATGGCAATGCCGCTCTCTGCCTTTGAACACAGGAGCAGCAGAAGAATCAGATGCATCTGGACACACTTTACTGGATATTTGAACTTAATGTGAACAAGCATTAAAAATGAAGCAGTAGCTTTTTTTCTGCTTCCACTGCTTGTGATCTGAACGTAGCCTTACTTTTACTGTTGTTTAACTTCTCTGTTATATCTTTATGTGATCCTGTATGTTGGTGAGGTCTCTATTGAAATTAAGTTGTTGTTTTTTTTAAGACAAAGAGAAAAATCAACTGAACCAGCCTAAACACAAACTCCATAAAAAAGCACCCACTAACCTCGTTCATATCCCGCACGCCACCCAGTTGTGTGCAGACGTCCTGGAGCTGCTGGATCTGAGCGCTTTGAGACTGGGAGAGGTTCTGCAGCTCAGCCAGCAGGTCTTCGTTTTCAGCCAGGGCCCGACTCAGCTCAGAAACCCGCTGCTCCGAATCTTCCAGAGATGCTTTCAGCCTGGATGGTATGACAACCAGAAATCAAAGCTAAAAAAATTACCTTTAGCGTCCACTAGCAACCCCTAAACCAATTTTGTTGTGGTAAATGAATGGAATTCAAGAAGTGGTATGGATTTGAATCATTAGCACAGATGACTGATAAAAGTGAATTTTCTTTGGCAAAATGGTTATTAAAAACTTAAAGGTACACTATGCAACCGGTGTTGATTTTCCAGCGAGGCTCCCCCCAGAGGGCGAAAGTAAAAGTGCACTGTCGTAAATATGCACAGCTGTTCTCCTGGTTTCTCCGTCAAGCCAGGCGCGGTTGTTTTGAGCTTAGCAGACAGGCGAACGCAACGAATGCACACACTGGACGCAGCTGGCGCGACAGAAGCAGCGAGTTTACATGCAAAGTCAATGGTTGACGCGCGTCAAGGCGCAGCAAAAGGTCCCGCGGCGCGATTTGAGCAGCAGGCGCAGCGCGTCTGAACAGCTGAAGCAGCGCGTCGGGCGCGTTTAATCATCTGACGCAGGGAGAGAGACACAGCGCTGATGATCACTCCTCTTAAACAGTTTATTGACGCCTAAATTACCTTTAAATGCAGGTATCTGCTGGCAGAATATGTTCGCTTTTATTATCCTGCTGCCTGCAGTTTGGATTATTTAGATGAAAAACACCTACCAGCTGCCGCGGTGAACCGTGAGGAGGTGACCCGGCCAGAGGCTGCTGATGAAGGGTTTCCTACTGTCGGCGCACCACTGGTATGTGGGGGTCTGAGCGGCTCCGACAGAACAAATATTGAAGGCAGGATGATAATCTGAATGAACTGACGGCACTGATTACTTTTTCAGGTGTATTTTCTCACTTAAACACATATTAAAACTACTTTATTCCCACTGATCACAGCAAATATAGCTGCAAGGCAGAGAAAGGATAGTGAAGCTCCGCCCAACGCGCATCAGACACACTTTTGCACCGCGCAGCCAGAGCAGCAAAGCTGCTTCAGCCGCGCGTCAGAACTAACTGGTACAAGCAGCAAAAAGGAAGCAGCAGACGCGATTTTGCTGCGTCCGATGTGAACGTAGCATAACTTCACAAAGATCGCCACTGTGCTAGCAACGAGCATGCTTTTAACTGGGGGCGTGTAGCAGTTCTCGCCGTAAAGCAAGACTGACTCTCGTGAGACTTCTGAGCCTGTGGGTGCGGGTCGGTGCTCCTGCAATTGCAAGTGCGGTATTTCCCCCACAGACCACCAGGGCGGCCGAGAATACCTTTGTTCAACCTGAAATGACTCATTTAATCATCCAAAACGTTATGGAACACATTAATTAACTGAAAAATGTTGCATAGTGTGCCTTTAAAATTGAAGAAAAATGTAAAATACTAATCATTTCTATTTTAACATAGGTAACATTAATAGTCTGCCTTTTTTAAGAAAGCAGCATAAATCCTTTCATTACTGCTTAAAATACTAGTTTTCATTCAGCAAAGATGAGCCAAAAGAATTTGCCAACTAGATTATTTTCTTCTAATGACAACATAAATGTAATGCTATTCACATTCTTTTACAAAAAAAAATAATAATAATCAGACTACTGTTTATTTGAAATATCATGTGAAGGACTTTGGACACCCTTTGCTTCAGCTCTATAATTGATCAACCTGACAACAGAAAGTCACCACTTACTGACTTTCCCTCTCGTTAGCCTGATGCAAGTCTTGCCAAGACTGCTGCAGCCTGTAGGAAAACACAACAATGAAACCACATGTGACCACATTGCATAAACCACATGAACAGCTCCTGATCCCAGGATCATACTTTGTGGTTTCTGCGGCGAGCGCCTGCTCCAGGAAGGTGTAGGACGCCAAGGTGGAGGAAGTGGTAGCAGACAGCTCTGTCACCTTCCTCTCCAGCTGACCCGTCTCCTCGTCTTTGTCCATCAGCTTTTGTCGCAGGACGCCCATCTCTAAAAACAGAAACATGTTAGGAAACCTGACATTGATGCAGAGAATCAGTCAGAGGGGAATAAACCTCACCGGATGTCAGAATTGTGATTTGCAGTTTTGAATCACTGTTCTGTTGCGTTGCAGTTTGAAGCTTCAGATGGGTTTCATTCAGCTCCTCTTCCATCTGTTGAGCAAATAAAAGTTGGTTTAACTGATAGACTGATACATCGGCCCGCTGACGTTAGCGTTTCTTCTCCTGCATCTGCCCCGTCCTTTCCCAGTTCCTATCCACTTTTTTTTTTTTTTTTTTTTTGCTGTGTAATATTTTTTGATCCCAGAGTTATCATTATCATTTAAAAGGAAGTAGAAAAGGCAAAGTTGGCTTAAAAGATTGACTCCCCAAAATATTTCGGGGATCTGTTATTCTGATGTAAAAATGATCCAAATCAGCGTAAAAAAAAAAAAAAAAAAAAAACCTGTTTCAGTCAATCTCTACTTTTTAAAACCAACAGCTTTATTTAAAAAATAAAATAAATAAAAAACGCTCATTAGATAGACTGGCATTGGAGTTATTTGATTGAAGGTAAACAATATTTTAAACCTTTCATCTGTAATTTTAACAGTTAGCATATATTTGTCCTTAAGGAGAACAAAGTAATAATAATTATATGCAAATAAAATACTAATTTCAAACTAGAGGAAGATATTCAGGGTTTTTTTTCCTATTCAATCCCATACAGACACTTGGGAAGATCGTATCCGCCCAAATCCGATCCGAATCAACTGGTCACCCATATATGTTCCCATGAAAGTGAAGCCTTTGACATAAACATTGCTAAAAAAGGTAAAAAATTAGCATAAATATAAATGCACTTTAGATTACATATGAAGAAATAAGCAGCAAAGGAAATAAATAACATTTCCATGTAAAGTGCAGTAGATTGGATCTCAGATATTCAATATTGGTAAATCTATTTCGGTTATGACTACTGGTAATTTCAAGCCTTTAAAACTTTTAAGGTATGAAATAATTATTAAAGTGAGAGTCAGACATTAAAAAATTGCAAAGATCAACTAATATTGCTAATTATTTTGAGCCAATATTAGCTGGATTTTTCCCCTATGGACCGATACATCCATTCAGCAGCGATCACGAGAGGCGCGTGCATTGCTGCGCTCTCGCTTAGCATTGCTGAAATATTTTCTAAAAAATCGTTTTGTTTGAACTGAGAGTTTTGTAACGATTAAACGAACCTGGTACAAACTCAACAATGTTTACAGGTCACTGTTCATGATTAAAGCTGCACTGATATCCACTTTTACAAATAAATCTATCGGGTTGAGACTAGCTGGAGAGATGAAGATCCGACCTGCTCTCGCTCTTCAATGGCTTGTTCTCTTGCAGAGCAATGCTGGTCCCTCTCCCTCAGAGCAGCAGCAGCTTTGTCTTTCAGCAGCACCAGTATCGGGGAGGTTTTCTTCAGGAGGCTCCTTACAGTGCAGAGCTTAGAAAAGAGTTTCCAAATGAAGCCTTATTACTGCTGGAAACAAAGCAATGTGGTTTCTCTTCTACATGAAGCATACCTCATTCATCAAACTGGAGTGTTCCTCTGTAGTCTCAGATAAAAGATTGGAGGCTGAGTTCAGTGCCTCGTTGCAGGCCTCTTTCAGTGCAACCTACATGAGGTGAAAAAGGTCAGAATACTAAATGCAGATTGAGATTAACGGAGTGTTTTCTCAAAGAGGAGGGTCAACTGTTCTGGTTTGTGTACCTGTTTTGGATAAACTTGGTTTAGAGCAGCTAAGAGCTCCTGCTGAGATCCAACACATTTCTCCAGAGCTGAGATTTCAGAGGCACAGTGCATCCTGAGCTGATCCATGACACAGAAAGCCTGGGAACAGACATAAGTTAACACAGTTTAACTGTAAGAAACACATTAAAAAGAAGGAGAGGTACTAGATTTACTGCAGCTACAGGACTATGCAAAAGTCTCAAGACATCCCTCATCTGTTTATCAAAACAAAACTGATTATTCCTGAAAACAAACAAAGAGTCAATGATCAATACAAGGGATGCAATAATAATACAAACTAAAATCGATCAATTTTTTTTTGTTTTGTTTGAGGTATTTTATTGTTATGAATAAAATAATAAAAGATAAAAAATCACCTTTTTCTTTCTTTTACCAACAATAAAACAAATCATGTATTTTTGGCGATATTACACCCCTAGATACGAGTGAACAAGTAAAATAAGGCCGTGCTCCTTACGAGGACTATAATGAGTAGGGGAGTAAATAATATACGTTTTGTATGCATCGATCCAACAGCCGACGATCCGATGCATCAATACGTCCGCAAGAGTATAATATCATGTTTTTCTTTTCCTCCGGTCTATTTTTATCCATTTGCTCCTGGGCGTAATTCTCCCTCCCGTGCTGCGGTGCCGCTAAACCTATTTTGCCCTCCTACCGCGCTTCCTGGTTATACAGGTGCTGGTCATAAAATTAGAATATCATGAAAAAGTAGATTGATTTCAGTAATTCCATTTAAAAAGTGAAACTTGTATATTATATTCATACATTACATACAAACTCATATATTTCAGATGTTTATTTTGTTTAATTTTGATGATTACAAATGACAACAAATGAAAATCTCAAATTCATCATATCAGAAAATTAGAATATTACTGAAGACCAATAAAAACAAAGGATTTATAGAAATGTTGGCCAACTGAAAAGTATGAACATTAAAAGTATGAGCATGTACAGCACTCAGTATTTAGTTGGGCCTCCTTTGGCCTGTATTACTGCAGCAATGCGGCGTGGCATGGAGTCGATCAGTCTGTGGCACTGCTCAGGTGTTATGATAGCCCAGGTTGCTCTAATAGTGGCTTTTAGCTCTTCTGAATTGTTGGGTCTGGTGTATTGCATCTTCTTCTTCACAATACCCCATAGATTTTCTATGGGGTTAAGGTCAGGAGAGTTTGCTGGCCAATTAAGAACAGGGATACCATGGTCCTTCAACCAGGTACTGGTAGCTTTGGCACTGTGTGCAGGTGCCAAGTCCTGTTGGAAAATGAAATCTGCATCTCCAAAAAGTTGGTCAGCTGCAGGAAGCATGAAGTGCTCTAAAACTTCCTGGTATGTGGCTGCGTTGACCCTGGACCTCAGAAAACACAATGGACCAACACCAGCAGATGACATGGCACCCCAAACCATCACTGACTGGAAACTTTACACTGGACTTCAAGCAACGTGGGTGAAGTGCCTCTCTTCTTTTCCTCCAGACTCTGGGACCTTGATTTCCAAAGGAAATGCAAAATTTACTTTCATCAGAGAACATGACTTTGGACCACTCACCAGCAGTCCAGTCCTGTTTCTCTTTAGCCCAGGCAAGACGCTTCTGACGCTGTCTGTGGTTCAAGAGTGGCTTGACACAAGGAATGCGACAGCAGAAACCCATGTCTTTCATACGTCTGTGTGTGGTGGTTCTTGAAGCACTCACTCCAGCTGCAGTCCACTCTTTGTGAATCTCCCCCACATTTTTGAATGGGTTTTGTTTCACAATCCTCTCCAGGGTGCGGTTATCTCTCTTGCTTGTACACTTTTTTCGACCACATCTTTTCCTTCCCTTCGCCTCTCTATTAATGTGCTTGGACACTGAGCTCTGTGAACAGCCAGCCTCTTTAGCGATGACCTTTTGTGTCTTGCCCTCCTTGTGCAAGGTGTCGATGGTCGTCTTTTGGACAACTGTCAAGTCAGCAGTCTTCCCCATGATTGTGTAGCCTATAGAACTAGACTGAAAGACCATTTAAAGGCTTTTGCAGGTGGTTTGAGTTAATTAGCTGATTAGAGTGTGGCACCAGGGGCCATCAATTTTGAACCTTTTCACAATATTCTAATTTTCTGATATGATGAATTTGAGATTTTCATTTGTTGTCATTTGTAATCATCAAAATTAAACAAAATAAACATCTGAAATATATGAGTTTGTATGTAATGTATGAATATAATATACAAGTTTCACTTTTTAAATGGAATTACTGAAATCAATCTACTTTTTCATGATATTCTAATTTTATGACCAGCACCTGTACTCTTACAGCAGTTTGTTGCAGTGAGCTTGACACAGACATTTTTAAATTATGCTCAATATTGAAGCGTGGTCTGGGCTACACGCTGTGGGTCTAGATACGGCCGAGGCGAGGAGGAAGTGGGGGCGAGTTTAGTCCGACGACGGAGGGACATGAGGGGCAAAAAAGGCGGAGATCCAGGTGGAAAAAGGGTCCAAGCGTTCTCGCGCACCTCGCTCTTCTAGCGGGTCAAACTTCACAAGTTGTTTTCCGCAATTTCAGTCATAAAAACAAAACAAGCCGGCCTCCTGTCTGCGGCACTGTTTGCGGTCAGCTACAAATTGGGAGAGGAGCAGTGGAGCGTCTGTGCAGGGGGCGGGACGTCTGGAGCCGAGGTATTGCATTGCACTGATTATGTGCAGTATTTTTGCAGCAGTTTTTGATGCAACTTTTCTACTTCTGTTATTTGCTGTTGTTTCTAAAAAAATAAATTAAAAAAGCATAATGATATTTCAGCTTTCAGTAGCTACGTTTACATGGACACAACTAATCGGATTGAAGGCCTGATCAGATCAAAAATGTTTCATGTAAACATGTCAGACTGAAGATTCTAATCCGATTCGGTCCGATCGGATCTAAATTTAATTCCGAAAGAGAGAGGTGGTTTTTGCCGATCGCCATTCTGATTGGCGTCCATGTAAACACCCATTCGGATCTTAAGAGTAAAATAATCTTCACTGCGCATGTGTGCGACGTCAGCGTGACGTTTTTCCGCCTTGTCAACAACAGGAAACCACCGGTCGCTCTCGCTCTTGTTGTGAACAACATGGCGGGAGGAGTCTAGGAACGCCGACTTATACACTCAAGTTCATTTAAAGCTGCAGGAAGCAGAAATTTATCCTCCTCCTCTTCCTCTTTTCTCTCTCCACAGCCCACTCGCTCTCCCACGCCGGTTCAATCGCTCATTCTCTACATTTTCTCTCGGACATTTCGCTGCCAAGCGCTTTTTTCCTCCTCTCTTCGTTTTTTTTCCGCTCGCTCCGAGCGCATCGTTTGTCAGGCCTCCCAAAAACCAGACGCAGACAGAACTGCCAAGTTTGGCACGAAGTTCTGCGTATGCTTAAAAGATTTAATCTGATCCAACGCTTGGTACATGTATACACACGTCATGATCGGATCATTTCATTTAGTGTCCATGTAAACAGAGATTTTGAATTTCCGATCAACCAAGGTTTGGATCGGATCGGGGAAATTTTGCGTATGTAAACGTAGCTAATGATTTATTTCAAACTTGAAACTTTGTTTAGCCTGTAAGGTGTAAAAAAAAAGAAAAAAAATTAATCGATTAATCGAATCGAACCGAATCGTATCGTGGTGTATTCTTGAGTATCGAAAATAATCGAATCGTTGGGTCAGGAAATCGATACTGAATCGAATCGCCATGATGGATGTGATTTACATCCCTACTACCCTCTTTCAACTTGCACACAAACACTCACATAAACAGCGGGATAATGCTTTGCGAGGACTGCTCTCTGCACAAAGCATTCTGGGATATTCAATAATGAGTAGAGGAATAAGACTTCTGGACATAATAAGCTTTTGAGAGGAAAAAAACTGAATGATGGCTTCTTACTGCCTCCTTGGCTGTAGCAGCTTCTTCCATCAGAGTCCTCATGTCATTCCTCTGTTGAACTGCTTCCTTTACCTTCTCCAGCATTCTCGCCTGGGATTCCTTCATCTTCCCCATCAAGGACTTTATGTGCTCGTACTGCAGAAGATCACAGTCAAGTCGTACAACTTATGGCGTTTGTTTTCAAATTTAGCTGAGCTATGAATCTACGTACATGTGAGGCAATGCTGCGATGGTCCTCTCTGACTGTTTCACCCATTTCATGCAGGCTGGACAGAGCTGCATCCGTGTCACTCTTCAAAGAGGACTGCAGAAAAAGAAAAAATTTTTTGCTTTTATTTCGTATTTAAATGATGAAGGATTATCTATGAACCGAAGCTCGTCTCACCATGGTAGTTCTCATGTGCTGGATAGCCTGGATGAGGTTCTGCAGAGAAGCAACATCCAGCTCCAGTTCATCTATCCTGCTCAGAGCCTCCAAGTAGAGCTCTCTGTGCATTGTGGTCTACAGAAATGAACAAGCAGAATGTATGAGTGATTTTTTACAAGCTTAAACTGGGTTTAATATTAAGCCAAATCTGCAGCTGGACTGTTTGCTCACCTGACTGAGCTCAGTGTGGTCGGTCTGAACCAGTTTTTCTCTCAGGTCCGAAGGAGGAGGGCCTGAAGACGGACCGTGTGCCTTGGCTGCAGCAATCTGCTGAATTAAGACCTCCACCATGATCATGCTGGACATCAGCCGCTGCTCCAGCTCCTCTCGGGGGAGGCTCTGCAGGCCCCCTGGTGGCAAACTGAAACTAAAGAAGAAGTTCACATCTAGCTATACCTTTTGTTTTTAAGCTGATTATTTAAAAAAAAAATTATACAAAAAAATTTTTTTCTTTTTATTTTCCAGTTATACTGATTGGTTATCTCACAGAGTTATTACAGAAAGGTAATATTAGCCCATTTTGTTCACACTGAAAACAGACTAAATGCGTTTGAGATGGCTGTGTCACTACCCCATCCGTCCCGGAAGCATGATCCGTTCTGCGCATGCCCCATCAGGTAATTTACGCATGCAGATATACATCCGGGTCATCTTCGATTTTATTTTGTTAAAAAGACCTAAATGACGTTTTCCCTCCCCAAAAAGAGTAAACGTACTAAAATATAACGTGTTAAAGGTTAATAATATATTTCCTGAGAAAATTAATGCCTTAAAATAATTTCTGTTTTATCACTGGTCTCGGCTGGATCTGCACCGGGAATGGGATCCGCTACCTCGGGAGGCTAACTTTTTCGGTTTTGGATTAAACATATATCTAGTCTTTTTGAGTTTTATGTTTTCGTTTTAATCTAATGCTATATAGTGCATAATTTAAAGAGAGAAACAACTAAAATGCAGTTAAACATGGTTTAATTATATTTTGTGGGACTGCTCTGAGCATGTAAAATGTAAACTAAAAAGCATAAAATTTGTCTCATAAAAGTCTAAAACATTTTTAAAGATGTGTATCAGCCTTCTTTAGTGAGTTTAGGATAGAAATAAGTAGTCATAGTAGTTTTAGTACCATAATTACATTATTTATGGACACCCAGATGTATATCTTTCCGCGCATATGCAGGACGGATCGTGCTTGCGGGACATATAGGGTAGTGACAGGCTGTCTTATTATAAACATCCTACATCATCCCATCCACTTTTTACAATAAAACAGTGCCAATGAAAGTGAGGAATTTGATTTAAGAAGATCTAATGAAGGCAATAACACCTGCTTTACTAATAAGATTTTACAAATTGTCGGTTGATTTTTAAAACACACACAGGAAAAAAAGAAGGAAAAAAAAGATTGTAGATATAACGAGTTTGGTTATATCTATGACAAACAAACCAACATATTTAGTTCCAAAGTCAGTTTTGGAAAATCTCCCAAAGGTGATTTCAGAGTAACTAAAGATGGCCGACAAGGAAGAAGCAACGGTGATATCTCGGGGACTTATAGAAAGATTGCTTAAAGAAAATGCATTTATTAAAGGAGTGGAAGCTCCAGTTGACATCCTATGATTTGGAGAAGAGGAGAGGTTTCATTTTCCTCCTCAGGAAACACTTTCTGATTGGTTACATGTCACATTCAACCAACTGCATCCTGGTCAGCGCTCGGGTAACATCTCACACTATGATACTAGACATAAACCATTTCTGTCCCATGAGAGTAACCAGCTCTTAACTTGTGAAAATAATTTGAAAGCGAATCGTACATTAATCAAAAATATATAAATAAATGTTGCAGTCCTCTTTTGGCCTAAACCGAACAAGCGGAACGAAGGAATTTTCTGATGTGCATAAACCCTGAGAAAATACTGCATTAAAATGCTGATATCTCTTATTAATAAGACATGATACCTATGACTGATTGATGCATTTATAGACCAACAATGGTGGATGTTCTTAGTTTGATGAACAGAAACAAGAAACTAAAGATTTTTCAGTATTTGATCTCTGCATGTTTCGATCTTTAGCCGACTAATCGGAACAATCCTTAGTCTGTAGCAGGAAACCATCTCATTTAAAATTCAACAAATTTTTGTAATGAAGAGGCAGTAAAAAAAATCAGGCGAAAATACTCAAGAAGCTCGTTGGTTGACTACAAACGTGGATGGATACTTTTCTATTGCTAATTCTACATTTCTGAATTGTTTTCGCATTAAAAGAACAACAGGTTAGAAAACCTTAAAATATGGTTGAATTGCATTGTATCTGGAGGACGTATTTGCACACTTATTGAACTTGAAGCTGTTAAAAACTTTCCATGCCGAGATTTAAGGAGATTTTTCAAGTTATTACAAATATTTTCCTATGCCTTTAAGTATTTGTCGTATTTTACAGAGTATCTAAAATTTTCCTGGGTATTAATATCAAGTTTGGAACTTTAGTGTCTTAACTATGGAAGAGGATTATGGCCAGTGGAAAAAAAAAAAAAAAAGTTTACTGACTTTTCCCGTACTAAACTGAAATAAAATTAAAAAATCAGTTACCTTTTTTTTTTTTTTCACTGGCCCTAATCCTCTTCCGTACTTAACACCTCTACTTTCGAGACGGAAATAAAATTTACATCCATTAAACTGTAGATTAGGGCTGATAAGCAACTTCAAGAAATGCTTTGATTCTGATTCATAAGATTTTGAATTTAATTACTGGTATTAAAATCCTTTTTTTAGCTGTTACCTCTATATGACTGGAGCTTTGCACAAAATTCATACTAGTTTTACAATTACCTCAAACAGCATTTTATTATAATAGTTAATATCAGCTTTAAGGAAAGTGTAAATAGATATTTGTTTATATGAATCAATCTAGGAATCAATATGAGAATCAATTAATAATTGGGAAATAAATGTTTCGTTTTTTTTTTAATCACAGCTCTTCTGTAGATTTATTCAAATGTAAATGCAGGTGAGAGGGAGATGCAGACAGAACTCACTTCCACATGGACGTGTCGGTCATGGTGCTGGAATCGGCCACAGAGAATTCCCTCCTCCTCACAAATATTCCAGATGTGTTCAGACTGTGGTCCATCGTTTTCACAGGACTGGTGCCCACGGCGATGCTGTGGGATTCTGCAGGAGCAGCTTTGGCCGGAGGAGGCATGAAGGCAGCAGGGGGTGGAGCCGAGCCCATCTTCCCACAGACCTCGTAGAGGAGCTCTGCCATCTGCCGCAGCTGCTGCTGAAACTGGCCTTCGGATTCCGGTGGGGCGGCTTCGGTCGGCGGCTTCTTCCTGGAATCTTCCGGTCCTGCAGCTGAGCCTGGCTGCGGCTGCACGTCCAACTCTGTGGAGTTTAACAGAGGCCGGGGCATTGGGCTTTCGAGGTGCTCAGCGAGCAAACCTGCAAGGTCAACATTAACAGGAGCCGCCATACCTTTCTCATCCTCAATAGCTAAATCTTCAGACAAAAACTTAGAGTCTGAGGGAAGCTTGCGGAAGGACTGAGGCGTTCTCTTGACGATGGGACTGAAGAGCTGCAGAGCTGAGGCGACTGAGGGACACTCTGATAACATCTTCAAAACATTAGGGGATGCGTGTTTCTCTGCAGGGCTGCAGGGTGTGGGGCCCAAAGAGGCGGGCGCCACGTCCTTCAACTCGCCAGCTTCAGGAGGCTTAGAAGTGGAGCTGGGCACAGAATCCAAATGTTGCTGCACGCCTTCATGAAAAGGAGTCTGTGCTGAAGCAGGATGCATGGTTCTGGGGACGACTGAGGATAAAGGAGAACCTTCAGGACGGTCTGCACTCTCAGAGTGAGCTTCCACAGCTTCCAATGACTGGTTAGTCAGGGATGCATTTATAGGCGATACAGTTTCTTCACCCGCCATCATCTCCGCTTGATCAGAGCGATTTTCAGATGAATCGACCACAGAGTCCGGATTATAACGGTCCTGCTGTGGATGGGAGACCGTCTCAGGCGCCTGGGAATCGTCTGATTTCCCAGCATCATCTACCGTTACTCTGTCGGAGCTCAAACCACTACCTTCGTCCTGACCTTTGGGCTCTACGCAGTCTACGATTTTCCTTTCCTCAGCGCCACATGGCGACAGGTCCTGAAAAGCCTTCAGATCATCGAAGCCAGGTGAGGAATATTTTGGATCATAGTAGGGATGGTCTAAGTGCTGTTCAAAGCTTTCCAGGCCATCTTCCTCGCCTAAAGTACTGGGATCCATGCCGCAAATGTATGAACTGAAGCCGGAACTGGTGTGTGAAAGGGGAATGGTGTCACCTGCAGGATCGGCGTCTTCTGAGATTTCCACCTCACCACCGCTGCAGTTTAACAGCTTCAAGGTCAGATCAGCTAGTCCATCAGTGGGATTTCCCGCTCCCAGTGGCGTAAAGCTGGGACTCGTTTCACCGATGCAGGACAGATGATCAACATGTTTCTCAGGAGACGGCCGTGTGCCTTCAGCAGAGTTTGGACCGTCATCTTGTGATGAATCCCTGAGGTCGTTATGGGGCAGAGGAACAGTTTCCTCCTGGAATCCAGAGGAGTCAAAAACTTCAACCTCACCTCCATCACAAGCAGACGGTTTCCAAGTTAGATCTTTCTCATCTGTTTCACAGACATGGAATGTAGAGTCTCCATGAGATCCACTTGGGGAATCTGGCTGATTGGAATACGGATGCTCTACATGCTCACTGCAGGACTGTTCCATCCTGCTGGGTGAACCAACAGTATCCTCCATTTCAACAGCAACGGTCCCAACTTCAGGCAAAATCAAACTATTTCCTTCACAATCTAACCATCCTGGGACCTCAACTTCCTCCCCAGAACAATTCAAAGACTTAAACGTGACATCTCCAAGTCCACAAACCGCCCAAGTGGTTTCTGCAGGATCTGGAACGACTGGGGTCCCTTTAACAAGTGGAGACGAGGCCAACTGGGTCTGTGTGTCACAGAGACGAAGGTTAGCCTGTGAAAGAGTTTGAAGGATAAACAGCTAAAAACGAGAAGTTTTTCCGAATGTTAGTAGAAACTCACCATGCTGGTTTTCACAGCGTCCCCACAGAGCTGCGGCTTTGAGCTGAGCCTCGACGAAGGACTCGATAAGTGGAGGAGCTCGTTTTCCCGGCTTCTAAGAGGGGTACGCTCACCACTTCTACTGGAAGACTACAGTCCACAGAGGGAGAGTGGATCAGCACTGGATACTCCTCTAAGGGACAGATTCACACAGCTCAGGGAAGAGGACTTACCCAGTCTGTTATGCTGGAATGGGACATCCTTAGAGGACTCAAATCTGGAGCTCACATATATAAGCCCTTCAGCTGCAATGAATGAATACAGGGGAGTGTATCAGAAAACATTCATCTAACATTTGGCAAAAGAAACCCTGTAAAAACTAGTGTTGCGGCAATGCCATTTTTTTTTGCCCCGATACCTGGCTCTGCAGCATCGGCCGATACCGACACCATTGGTTTGAAATTGATGTGTGTGTGTATATATAAAGAACTGCATACTACTTGAATGTAAAATAACTACCATCATGGCTTTGTCAAGCTGCTGCCTACCTTTGTGAAGCAGGAAAAAGACTAAGACAAAGTGAATCCAGTAGAACTTTTTATTTCCTACCTAGAATGGGTGACTATAGTTGAATAAACTTTTGGCTCTCAAAATGGTATCTTTGCCCTCTTTGTTGGTACTCGCCAATACCAATAACACCATTTTTACTGCTGGGTCAGAGCCCCGTCTGTTAGTGGTATCGGTGCAACACTAGTAATACGTTCCATTATCTTTCTCTATTCTATATAAAATTGCTATACAACTTTCATTTGTATTGTCCAAATGATAATATTTCCACAGTTATTTATGTCCACCACCGTGTGTTTGCTTATCCGTATGTAGAATCAAAACAAATTAATCCAACCTTTAAAATAAAAGGTTTTTGTTTTTTCTATTTTTTCTTCAGATATTAGAGCAAATTATAACAGCAACATTATGCAAAATGTTATCAATTGTGAGAAACTTTCTTTTTGTCATATTCATGAGCTATAGGAACGTATTTTTCTTAGATCTAAGAAGACCAACTGGTTTTAGGGGAAAAGAGCAAAACACATTCTCAGATCTGCAGAATTTGTTGGTTTATCTTCCAACTTTATGTTCTGTTTCCCTTTTCTCATCACAGTAGCTTCGTCTGGTCTGTTCCTGTTTGACTGTGACTCCATCTGAAAAGCTGCTGCCAATAACACTTTCAATCATTGATGATAGAGCTGTTTTTCAGTGCTCAGTCCGGTTTCTCTGACAGACAGGGATAGGCTCTGCTTTTACTATGATTAACTGTATGTGTGAAAACTGGCTGAGATCAGGTCTGATTAGCTGTTTCTTTCCTAGACAGAGCCACCAGCAGAGCTAGTTTACTGTTACCTTCTCTAACATAGAAAGTATTTATACATCAGTGTTTCTATGTTGCTTTTGTGTGTCTGCTTCTATCTTGCAATCAGACTCAGTGTGAGGGATTGCTGCAAAATCAGAGACAAAATGCAAACCTCTACTGTCGCTACATGCTCATACTGGAGGAGCAAAGCCTGCAAAAGTCAATGACTAGATGCAATCAGCTGCTTTTCCTTGGACAGACAGCTTTCCTTGGATGATCTGATTGAACATTGTCTGTTTTAATTATGTGTATAAATAAAGTGAACTTTAAGCTGGAAATAAAGCTCCCATCTATCCTATCAATAAACTGCCTCTGGAGTTTCATTATATCTGCTGTCATGTTATTATAATTAATGTATTCTATAGAGGCAGAACAACATCTTTATTGCTCAGCAGGTATAGGTTAGGTTCAGAAAGGTGTTGACAGAAAGCTAGGCTGAAAGATTAGGCAGATAATCAGATTATAAAATGTGTAAAACTTCATACCCATTGCTTAATAAACAGTTTACTAAGTTTCAGGGTGTTTTTGGAAGAATAAAGTTGAAATGAGAATAGAATAGCGGGGAAATAAAGGCAGATAAAGATGTTCTAGGGGCGTTTACCTGTTTAAAGTCAAATAGAAGCTACGTTAGCTAAAGTGTCTGTTCTTGTACGGCAGTCAGGCGGCTAACGGTCGCCCGATTAAACTGAATGAGCAACTTAAAGCAACTATTCAGAAGATAAACCTTACCTTCCAAACTTCAACAACTTCGATCCGAAGTTTGAAATATGCCGAATAAAAAGAGGCTGACAGCAACTGCGTTACTTTCAAAACAAGACGCGAGGACTTCGATTCAAATCCACAAACAGCGCGCTGCTATTGGTCGCTTCTCTTCTTCTTCTTGGATTTATTGGCGGTTGGCAACAAACATTTAGTAGCATTACCGCCACTTACTGGTATGGAGTGTGGTTCATGCTAGACTATACTAATATATACTATACTAACTCCTATATATATATATATATATATATATATATATATATATATATATATATATATATATATATGCTATCGATAATCAAATTCTATGAAATAATTTAGTTTTCTTTAAAAGTCAAATAACTATTTGTATATGTTTACTCCCAAAATTCTTCCTCAAAATATCTAATAAATTAATATTTTCCTTTATACATTCAAACTCTCTCCTCATATATCTTCTCTCGCTTTCATATTTATGACATTCCAGTAAAACATGATCTATTGTTTCATATTTTCCAAAGTAATCACATTTGCCAGTAGTTTGCTTTTGAATTTTGAAAAATGTATAATTAAGTCCTGTATGCCCAAATCTTAATTTTGTTATCATCTCTCCTTTCTATTTTGTCTTCTATTTCCTACCATCTTCTGAATTTTATAAAACCATCCTGTTTTTTCTTCATCCCACCTTTTTTATGCAATTTTTCCATCAGTTTTTCTTTAATAATCCTCTTTCCCTCCGATTTACTTGTTTTAATGTCAAACTAATAGGATTTTGAATTGCCCTCTTATCTACCTTCTCTTCTTCTTCTTTTTTATGGCGGTTGCCAAGCAACTTATTGATGCGCATTACCGCCATCTACTGGAATGGAGTGTGAATCGGGATACTATATATAAATTCTCCCACACAAAAAAATATATGTAACAAATAAATTAATAAATCATATATCCTTTCTATCAATTTTGTTTTCTTAATATAATTTATTAAACATGAAAAAAAGAAGTAGAAAGTTTGTCCAAAATATCTTGTATATTTAACTGCAATTTATTTATTTTCTTGTAATGGACAAACTAATTCCCTTCTCTCAACAGAATATTTAGAACAGAATAACAAAAAAATTTTTACTGTCTCTTCTTGAAAACAAAAAACTATTTCCTGTTGGATGTTTTCCTATTTTAAATAATGTACTATTTAACCGTGTTTAATCATAATGTAATCTGGATATAATGGTTTGCTCTTTTCTATTTCTTCCTGTTCTTATCAAATGTTCTTTGAAAGCTGTAAAGCCACCTTCCAGATCTATCCTCCTCCCACTGCTTCTGCCATCCTTCTCTTCTCCTCACTTTAATGTAACTCAAACAGGACATAAATGCAACTACGCTTTTGTATTGAAAAAACAAAAAAACATCCTTCGGTTTATTGTTGTTTGAAGAAAGGATCATTTTCTTGGCCCATATTGGCCCATTTCAATACAAAGATCAATTTTAATAGAACCTTTTAGTTTATTTATTTCAGAGACCCAGTTCACTATTGAAGCCTTTGAACCCCTGGTAGTTTCTAAATAAAACCCAAATTTCATTGCTGAATAATAAACTCTCACTGAAGATTTTTTGAAAGATGTAAGCTTTTAATTTTAATTACATTCTATGTTAGGCAGGTGGTCATGCTTTTTTAAAAACTTTTTTTTTTATTCTCAAATAACATTTTAAAAGGTTGGACTATGGGTTCAACTTATCTTTGCACGCTCTCTGCATATCATCTATGGAAGCCATTAAAGACAAACATTAAAGAACATGGAATTTCTCTTTCATAATTTGAAGACAAAACCTTGGAATGGATAAAAAGGATTAAACACACTCAATAAATACACAATTAAAGGGGGTCATTATGGTTTAGTTTAAATTAGAAGAGTAGTTTCCTCAAACAGAATGGGGACAATAAGCCTCAAAGCTCAATTTTTGTTAGCCACAAGACATAAGGCGGCCCACTCTCAGAGGTCTGAACTTTAGTTAAAGTAACTTTATTCCTCAGAGGTTTCCTCCTAAACCCAGATATTTTGCCTTTGGTTTAAGCTGCATTCAGTTAGAGTTCAGACTCCTCACATTATGAGTGGTTTTAGACCGGGGCCAACAGGGCCAAGTGCTGCTGCTGTTAAACTGGACATGAACCCTGTTCTCAAAACAAACACTAGCAAAAATGTTTATACAAGTCATTTTCTTTTAGTGTGTATTATCCCTAGATAAAGCAGATAGGTAAGACAATTTGACAAAGGGATATTTATTTACTTTTAAAATCAAATAAATAAAAAAACTGTTATTTCAAGTGTCTGCATTATATCTAGTTCTAATTCTTCTATTTACCTGCTTAAATGAAGGGAAAATACTGATATATTAAGATATTTGTACATATTTTTAGATCCGTTTTTGCAGTTTAATACTAAATCAATGATTGTATTGGCTGAATGAGGAGACCATAACTGGTTAACTCCTTAGATAATAAAATATATTCTATTTATAATTTAGAAACAACAGTCGGTTTTAAGCCTCAGCTGTATTAAGAAGATCACAGATTTCCTCTGTTAGATCAGGATTCTGCAACTTTGACTTTGTGGCTCACTTTATACATTAAACAAAGCCCTCTTGGCCTGTTTTATTTTTTTCTTTTACTTCTGTGCCCCTATGAAAAAAAACTGAACACTCTCTTACACCCCTAAACAAAGTCATCAGTGTGGCTGCTCTTATTCTGCTGATGGGGACCAACAAAACCCAGAATACGTAAAATATTACTAATCTGCTGTCCCATCTGCTCCGATATGTGTGAGAATGGAGGTTAACAACACACAGCCCTGAGGTGTCCCGGTGGAACACATACACGTTCAATCTGACAAACAATTGTTTACTCTCACTGTCTTGTTTTCTTTTAATTAAGAACATGATCCTACCTGGATTTTTTCTTGGGATTACATTGTTCATAAGAATGTTTGATTGTAAAAAAAAAAAAAAACATGCAAGAGAAATTGACCCACAGCATCACACAACCTCCACTGTTCCTAAAGGTAATCTTTTTCCCCCCACATACCGATGTTGCTTTGTTCTTGCTGAAAATCTCATCCTGAGTCTAATCTGAGGCTGATGATTGGAGCTTAAATCTGCATTCAGTAGATCAAAAAACTCCATTTATTTATCGCTCTGAATGACGTAACGCTTCAACTAGAAACTTT